GGGGATATTTGGAAGACCCACCGCAGCTCTGACCTACTTGTGTCAAGGTTGTACACTGGCTGTTTTTTACTGGGTGTGTGTGTGGAGCGCGTGTGTGTTTGTGTGTGTACTTGAAGCAAACTCTCTGTGGATGTGAAGCTGGATGTTTTGACAGCTTTAGAACACATTCAGTACAATGCTGGGACAGTGTGTGTGTGTGTAGAGGCCTGCTGGATGAACAGGGAGGCTGGAGGAGTGAAAACAGGGTTAGTGTAGTTGATAAGAGGAGAATGAGGTGATGAGGAGAGATTTGAAGCCACTAATAGCTGACAATAAGAATAGTTAGCCGTGGACATGGAGAATTTGTTTCCCAAGTATCAGTAACAAAAAGGCGATGAAAAAAAAAGTTGATGACAGTGACATTTGAATTAATATAGAAATCTTACCATCATTTATATCAGACTAAATATAAATTAATCATGTTAAATCATGTTAAAATGTGGCTAAACCTATTTTGATAATAATGATAAAAACATTATCATTGAAATGAAGAACTCTTGTGTTTGTGAGGGTTTTTGCCTGTGTTAAGAACCAAATAATTATTTGGTTGCCCGTGACTTCAAGTACAGGCTGTATCAAACCGAGTGTTTGTTCTACCAGCAGGATTGACCTTTTGAAGTGGTCATCCCCAGGAATGCTCCCAACTCCTCCTCCCATCTTTCAAAGCTTGTCAGTCTTCCCACACAGTTAATGAAAGGGTGACGGAGCTTGTCCACAAAGCCACACAGTTCTGTTTTTATACTACTGTAGCTAATAAAGTCCAAACATCTCATCGGCCTGTTCTTCCAGAGAGTTTCTCACTACTTCAGTCCATTAGTACAACAAAAGACCGACCTCGCCACAGTTTTTAACCTTCTCTGTGCCAGTTTTGCTGAATCTATGCTTTCTCCAGCAGCATTCTAGTCCATCCTTCAAGTTGTTTTATTTTGGCCATACCAGTCAGATCAGGGGGCAGTGTTTTCTCAGGGCCTACATACAAGATGAGACAAAACACTTATATAAACTGATATAACTGATGTTCAGGAAGGGGCTGGTTTTCTAGTCCCTCAGTACTCAGTGGTGCTGGAGGGCTTATATTTGGAATATCTCAGATACTCAAGAGTTTTATTCTGTCTTTTATATGTAGCTTCAAATGGTCAAAAAAACAAGGGATGTATTCAAAGGATTTAGCCTTTCTCAGTGGAATGATGTTAAACAGTTGATTCAGAATGGTCAGTACCAAATCCAACCAATAGATGTCTTCGGCCTTCTACAGCTACCTACTGTGAGCGAATCGGTGGATGTTGACCCCTGAATAAATTAGGTAAGGGGCATGGGAGGGAAGTGGAGTTCCATGAAAAGAGACCAAAATAAATGAAAGTGTTTAGGACTAGTGGTTACTGTTGAGAGGTGTTATTGCATAACAGAAAAAAAATAGACTAAGGGCAGACAAAACTGGATTTTGGAGGATTATCTTGTCATTTTCATATCATCTTGAACAGTGTATATATTACAACATTACGCAGATGATGAAGAGTTGTCAGTGTTCCCCTACAAGCCACTACCACTGGGTGCCGCTGTTCTGTGGCGCTGAACACCTACAACAATGGTGAGATGACACATTTAATATTATGATTTTTTTTTTATAAATAAGTCTTAGAAATACTTAAAAACAAACAGAATGTACTTCCAGTGGTAAGATTTCCTATTCAGTGTATTTGTCTATAGCTTATTTTTTACAAAATCCATGTTGAAAACAAAGTTGTAGACAATGCCAGGAGCAACGCAGTGACAGAAAGCTGCCAGCCATCTCTTTATTAAACCCTTCATGGCCTTAAAGCAAAGTCACATTGAGGTTGTTGGCTAAAATTGAAACCTGAGCTGAGCAGCTTCTCACCGCTCCTCTCATCTGTGCTGCTCTACTCTCCTGGTCCTTGCCCCCACCCCTTCCTTTTTTAAGTGTCCATCTTTCAGAATTGCAGTTTAAAAAGCCATCACAGCGCAGGATGAAAGAGCTGTGATCTGTGAAAGCTGCATGAGGCTGTTGTGAAATCCTATAAGAGCAGCAGCAGATCTGACCTGTGCAGTAACGTGTGTGATAATGTGATAGCTGATATAAAGAACAGCCTCAGAGCAGGGAGGGGGGCGGTGATATCTGGAAATGCCCACTTTTCTTGATCCCCCTGGGAAAATGTCCACTGTACGTCCACCACCAATGCCTGGTTACATCACCGCTTGCATCTTTCTATACCTTACAGACTGGTCCTAAGCTTATTACCACATGTACGCTCACATGCACACATTTGTCTAAGGCAGTAGTAGAAAAATCTTTAGCTGTTACCTGTTCTGGTTTGCTCAGTGTTCTTTTAGAGTGCTGTCTACAATTCCATTTTTAAAAATCAATACAAAGAATCACAATTCTGGACCTTTTTCACACATTTCTTCAACCAGACCCAAGCAAACACAGGGACAAGATCAACAAACAACGTGATTGGATACAATTAAAAGTCCAAGATGTCCATACGGGTTTTTATTTTTTTCCAAACACAAACTGTTGTTGGGCTGAATGTGATAGCTTAACTCCTCACTGATTCATATTTCCCACTCTTCAAATTTTATTTTGTTAGTGTACACATACAGTACATACATCTTCCCGTTGCCTGAAATGTGTCATTCATGTGATGTGTAAAGGGTTCCTGTGGCTTCAACTTTCAGGTCTTTAGTAGGGATGTCATTAATTAATTTGCGAAGATTAAAAGGATTAAAACATTGTATTTTAACACTCAGACTGAGATCAACCTTTTGAAGATATCTAGGTCTAGACCAGTTCAGATGAAGCTCACTAGGCTTTTTAACATCATAAAACACGTGTGAACAGTAAAAGTAAACCAACAGATCTAGTCTGGGGTGATGGAACCTCAGTGTTTCCAGTACAGCTTTCAGCTCTGTGGTACACTACATTACACTACAGTGTAAGTTTTCGCATAAAATAGATCAGACAAACATCTGTGATCTCATCCTTTTGACTTTCAAGGCATGACTGAGTCTTTCTTCTCGTACAATACCTATACCTACTGTATCTTCTACTGCAGTAGAAATGTACTGCTTCAACAGCTGCTTTAACGTTATTGCTCCTTCTATCTCTCTTCTCCACCTGTAGTACGTGTTTCAAAGTGTCACAGGCAGATATGGAGCAAGGGCAAGAAAGTAGTATTCATAAATGAAAGTCAATACCTGTCCCACACACTCTTTTCTTTGACAGACGTGCCTCAGAGAGACAAAGGTAGGCTGGCGCTGCTGTGCTTCCTCCACCCAGCGGTACATGTGTTTAGAGGAGCAGTTACATGTATTTGTTTAATTTAGGTACTGGGTCACATTGGAAGGTAGTATATAGTAGCAGGTAAGCTTGAGCTTGATGGGGGTGACTGAGGTTGGAGAGGATAGGTCAGGAGCAGAGAGCATTCAGGGATCATGTGTCCAATGAATAGATGCCATTTTTAGCTGCTGTTCTCTGTCGCTGCTGCAGCGGTGTCCACATCAATGGAACAATAAACTCAAGGTCTTTATAGGAGTTTCATAAAGTCTATTTATAGAACCACAGGGTGGCAAGGACAGATGGACTAATTAACTGACTACAGGTTGATCTCATTGTGTGTGTACTGTGTGTGTGTGCATGTGTGTAGGTTGGTTATGTAATGAGGCAGATTCTTCTGGTGATTCTTTTAGACGTGTATTAACATGTCAGAAATGTCTGTAAGCAGTTTATGCAAAAGAGGATTCTGTTAAGGCTTTTCAACAATGTGTGTTTGCAAAAAGAGGAAGTGGGTTAAGCTGTCTTCTGGACATAAACCCCCTCCGTCTTCAACTCCCTCCATATCAGGTGGTCAAACATGCAACCACACATATAGCTGACCACACATTTACTGCAAGGGATTTATTCCTAACAATCTGTAGCAATTACTGTACTGTTGCACCCAATGTGACCATGTGTCCTAATTGGGATTCACAGCCAGTTAAACTCTTTCCTGCATTACTTCCCCCAAGGAACAGGCAGGTGTTGTATTTGAAGGGTTTAATGCAGCAAAGTGTGAAACTACAACAACACAAACATAAACAAGTATTCAGTAAACAGCGAATTCAACAGTGCACATCAAAGCCACACCACAACAAAGTGCAACAAATACACCCGCTAACATTCATATTTTATGTAAAACTCACTCAGATTGCACTCAAAGGGCTGAAAATGAGAGGATGGCTTCGGATTACAGGAAAATACCTCATGGACCGCCCGTCCCTCTGCAAACAAATCCCCTCCCTCTGGCCACCCACTGGTCAGATACATCCCCACAATTACCACCAGTGCCCTCTAGCAGGCTGGATGGCAAACAGAACACAAAACAGTTCCAACACAATTACACTAATTATATACATATTCCTTTATTCTAGTGCCACAGAAAGAGGAAGTGGGTTAAGCTGTCTTCTAGACATAAACCCCCTCCGTCTTTAACACCCTTCATATCAGGTGGTCAAACGTGCAACCATACATATAGTTGACAACACATTTACTGCAAGGGATTTATTCGTAACAATCTGTAGTGATTACACTAATTAAATACGTATTCCTTTATTCTAGTGCCACAATGCTGTGGTTGGTCGTTCAGGCATCAAAAGCAGAAAGGAGGTAAAGAAAAGGCGATGAGTGGACAGTGAGCTCAAGGTCAGCCTCTCTTTCTCTGTGCAGCTACAGAAAGAGCCCTGCAGCCTCTCTCCTCCACAGCCTGTGAACCATGTGTTCTACTGAAGAGTTTGGCACCGGCCTCTAAACACTGGTCGTTATTGCTACTCAGCCTCAGAGACTTAACAAAGCCTTTCTACCCGTGGCATGGAAAACATCTCAAGCAATTGCTTTCATTGTCAGGATGCAGTGTGAGAAAAGGTTACACCTGGGACTCATTAGAATTTTAATGCAATTTAAATTTCTACTTTTCTCATCTGCTCACCCTCTCTGTTTCTCCCTCCCTGGCTCTCTCCCCCTCTCTCCTGTTCTCCAGGGCCCTCTCCATGGATATAGACACTGACTGTGAGCGGCCCAATGTGGAAACCATTAAATGTGTGGTGGTTGGGGACAATGCAGTAGGCAAGACCAGGCTAATCTGTGCCCGGGCCTGCAATGCCACCCTCACACAGTATCAGCTGCTTGCCACCCACGTGCCAACAGTCTGGGCCATCGACCAGTACCGAGTATGCCAGGAGGTGGGCATGCAAACACAAATACACACACATATACAGACAAGATAACTGGAGTGTGAAGAGAGCCATTTAAAGACTAACTTGGATTATCTTGAATATTGAACTAAAGTTAAGTTTGTCCAAGGGGCGAACACTGCCCAAAATCTTTATTTTCAGTAACTGCATAATATATAACATTTTACTAATACAGAAACCTCATAAATGTTAGTTGATATTTGTTATGAATCCTAGATGCTTTGATGTTTCAAGTATACCCTGCTAATTTTCATTAATTCTTTCTCTTTTTAGGGAGTAAAATAAAACATTTTTGTTAGGGTTCTGATCTTTTCTCCGTAGCTTTGAAAATAAAAGGCTTAAAATAGTCATGCAAGGAGAATGAGAATTCATAAAAGAAAACTCAGAATCCTGACAATGAAATTGGAATCTTGAGGGGAAAAAATCTGAAGAATTCTAAAAATCTATGCCTCTGCTTCATGTGCTGCAAAATGCTCTGACCACTGAGAATAATGAGACTCTTTCTGCTCTATGTTGTTTAATATAATTTGAATATAACACCAATTTATATACATTTCCATTACATTGCAGTTTTTCAACAATTTTATTTCAATGTTTTTAGTCCATTTGAGATGATGTGCGTTTGTAATATGACAAACTGACTCGACCTGAAATATGAATAAATTCTATGTAACCTATATGATGTATTTTATACTACCATATGTTCCTGCTGTCATTATGACCAGCTCTCTCTTGTTAAAAATCTCTGTCTGAATTAAACCTGATAGTAAAATAGGTAAAAAAAATAGTAAATATGTGTTGATAATGAGGACATGTGTCTTTGTTGCAGGTGTTAGAAAGATCACGTGATGTAGTGGACGAGGTCAGTGTGTCCCTGAGGTTATGGGACACATTTGGGGATCATCACAAAGACAGACGATTCGCCTATGGTTGGGGATCATCACAAAGACAGACGATTTGCCTATGGCAGGTGAGCACACACACACAGACACACACACACACTCCTACCCAATAAGAGACTGTGCGAGCCCAAACCTACTTAGTGACCTAATAACACAGTTGCAGAGTGGAATAGTGTTAACAACCTTGTTGCAACACAATCTCAACACAGTTATTTCAGCCAGGACAATGTTCGTTTGTGTTGCTGTACAGTTTGTCAGATATTGACACAATTCCTTTGGAATACATTGCCATAATTGTCAGGATGTAAATAAACTCTAACTAATCTACCACACCCACATGAACTGTAACCAGAATTAAAGAATTACAATGTCTTTTTTTTTTTTGGTCTTTGGTCGTTTTACATCTTCCCGCATTAAATGTAAATTAGTCATGGTTTTACCCTAACTTTCCATTCTTCTCTAATTCCATTTGTTTATGTACACTATGTTTATATGTAGTATTTACATAAAGCAGTGGTCACCAACTATATTTGTCAGAGGGCCAGAATGGACAGACACATTGGGGGCTGGACACTGATATAAATTAATCAAATAAATCAAGCTTTTAATAGAGTCATAAATGGTTGGGGTCAGTGATAGTTATTAAGGTCTCAGTTGTTTTTTTCAGTTGCAATTTTCTCTTTGATCCTCACAATTTTGAAATCCAATCGCAGGCTGGATTAGACAATTCTGTGGGCTGGATTTGGCCCATGGGTCTCCATTTGGTAATCACTGAAGTTTCCAAAAACTAACACTGAGGCCTAACACTTCCAATAAATGCATTTAAGTGCAATTTTATGTCTGGTAACTAACAAAACCCACACAGAAAAACAAACAGAAAAACTTTTACATAAATGGATTGGGAACATGAAGCAGCCAACACAATTCTAAAAAGCTAGCCTTAGGCAGATTGTTTTTTATTTTATTGACATTAGTCGGGATTCCTCAGGGCTCGTAATCATCTTATTTGTTTGACTTGCCACATACAAACATGATCTTACCACATCATGTTGCACACCCTCCGTGCGATGGGTAAGGACCGACAAACCCAGAGCAGGTGTAGAATTCGCCACTTCACCCAGAGGTCCCCCCGGGACCCCTCTCGGGATTCTGTAGGTCTGCTTAAGCTGATGGGCGAGGTGACTCGTCCGGCTTCTGACTGTCGTTCATCTGAGTGGCCGCTCCGCTGCCACCGCATGCACACTCCGAGGAATAGCCTGGTGATCGGGGTGCTCCACGCGACCACACTCATTCATGACAGCTCACCTCTCATGATCCTGGCACTTTTTAGTTGCCGGATTGGGTTTTAAACACTTTAACGGTATCAGGGGTAGTAACTGGTTTACAGAGAATAGACTTAAACTTTGATGAACCATTAATAATGTTACTGTGTATAACCCAGGATTTACTGTATGTGAGGAGGTGTAAAAGTGAAGACATTTCTTTATGATTATGATTTTAATTTTATAAAATTGTATTAATTAGAATGAAAAGGGCACCGCACATAAGCAAATTTCAGCAATTGTAATAGTCAGGTAAATACAATTTGATTAATATAAAATAGTGCTGTGGCATTATTGATATAATCTGTTCTGACCCTACTGCCTTGTGAAGAAGAGGAGAAGTCACATCCCTTGGCCTTTGGTGTGTTGAGTTTTCACTGCGACGGGAGAGCCAACACCCTAAGCTGCCCGGTACAGGGCTGCTTCCCCTGGGCGAGGCACTCTTCTGGTCCAGTCACAGTTGTGGCAAGCAAAAGCAGAGAAATAATTCAATCTTCTGCTGTTGGAGTTTCTTGAAGTTAGTAAAACTTCTGTGCTCTTGTAAGTTCTTCTATGTCCACAATCCTCTTCTCTGGGGCATGACAGGGTCCTGGAGTGAGTCCTGTTTGTCTGGGGAGAGGTGGCGCTCGAACTGAGCATTTCAGCTCCTGCACCTTGTATAAATATGTAAAATGTGTAAAAACACTCTCTCCTTATTGGGTGAGATATGAAAAATCATTCACTCCTTTTTAGGTCTTCATGATGTCTGTTCTTGTTGTTATTGGACACCTGTGCACACCGGCCGGAGTGCGTCATGAGCTGGACATCTTTCCTGTAACTGTCCCTATCTCTTCGACAGTTTATACACTTCTCATTTTTCAGTTGTTCCTATAACTGACATTATACCACAGCACTTCTTCTTTTCATTTATTACACACATTCGAGAATTATAATGTTAATCACAACATTTCTATTTGCCTTGAGGATGCTGATGGAGAAGTACAGGGAAGGTCAGAAGGAGCTACATTGTGTATTTGTAGATCTAGAAAAGCCATATGACAAAGTGCCAAGGGAGGAATTGTGGTTTTGTATGAGGAAGTCAGGAGTGGCAGAGACGTATGTTAGTTTGGTGCAGGACATGTATGAGAATAGTACAACAGTAGTGAGGTGTGCTGTTGGAAGGACAGAAGACTTCAAAGTGGAGGTGGGACTACATCAAGGATCGGCCCTGAGCCCCTTCTTGTTTGCTGTGGTGATGGACAGATTGACAGATGAGGTCAGACAGGAGTCCCCATGGACTATGATGTTTGCAGATGACATTGTGATCTGTAGTGAGAGTAGGCAGCAGCTAGAAGAGAACCTAGAGAGGTGGAGGTTTGCACTAGAAAGAAGAGGAATGAAGGTCAGTCGCAGCAAGACAGAGTACATGTGTGTAAACGAAAGGCAGAACAGTGAAATAGTGAGGCTACAAGGAGCAGAGGTGGTGAAGGTGCAGGAGTTTAGGTACTTAGGATCAACTGTTCAGAGCAGCGGAGACTGTGGAAGAGAGGTGAAGAATAGAGTACAGGCAGGATGGAACAGCTGGAGAAAAGTGTCAGGAGTGATCGGTGGCAGAAGAGTGTCAGCTAAGGTGAAGGGAAAGGTTTACAGGACAGTGGTGAGACCAGCCATGATGTATGGTTTAGAGACAGTAGCAATAGGCAGAAGACAGGAGGAGGAGCTGGAGGTGGCAGAGTTAAAGATGCTAAGATTCTCTTTAGGAGTGACAAGAATGGACAGGGTCAGGAATGAGGTCATTAGAGGGACAACACAGACAGGAAGGTTTGGAGAAAAAGCTAGAGAAGCCAGATTGAGATGGTTTGGACATGTGCAGAGGAGGGACAGTGGATACATTGGTAGAAGAATGTTAGAGATGGAGCTACCAGGTAGGAGAAAGAGAGGAAGGCCAAAGAGGAGATATATGGATGCAGTGAGGGAGGACATGCAGGTAGTTGGAGTCAGAGTAGAAGATACAGAGAACAGGGAGAGATGGAAATCAATGATTTGCTGTGGCAACCCCTGAAAAAGGGACAAAGCCGAAAGAAAAAGAAGAACTAGTGTGTTCAGCTGTTTTTGTGTTCGACTGAATCTTTTCATTTCCACCTTTAGTTTTAAAGCAACACTAATCAGTGCAAATAACTCATGAACAAATACTACTTTGAGACTGACCAAAGCTCTTCAGGCAGCTGTGTTATGACTACAGATTAAATGCTTCTTGTAGAACTTCAGACAGTCTCGGGTGTCATCGACCAGGTTATTTATCCATTGAATTTAACCTACATTTTCAAACGGAACAATATGTTTTTAGAGAAAACTGAAGAATAATAGCCTTAAAAATACTCACTTTTTATATTTAAAATATAAGCAACCTCTGTGTCATAACGAACAAAGTGATGCCGTTGTTATTTTATTTCTTTTTTTTTATGCTAGTCTGACTGTTTTTCTGCAGCCTACATGCTGTGCACATTTTTTGTCTAACATAATGTGGAACTAGTCAAAGTGAAGGCTGTTAGTTTTTAGTAATTTTAATTTAAAAGATTTACCATCG